ATCACTTAATATTGTTCAAGGAACTTCGTATTGTGTTATTTCACACCAATTTTGTTACGCAACTGTTAAAATAAATAAATTTAAAGTTTATGGAGGGAGCGGGTCAATGGGTGAAGTTGGTTTATTATAATCGTGTTCTCTGTAGACATATGCTAGTCACTGTGTTCTTTATAGGCCTATACTTAGACATCACGTTCACTGAAGTACATTGCATCGATATAGGCTCTTCTATACACACAGAAATCACAATAACGTGATATATCATACGAACAAATGTGAGTTCATTTGTTCTAGTTCATTTGTTCATTCCTGTGACTAATGAAAGCACTAGCACTCCAGGTTGCAATTCCTTTAACCATGTCGTGTACAGTTGACTAAGGCGCATATGGGAACATCCCGTACGTAAGTTCGAACCCTCATCACGGCTCTTGTGGATTTGTTTGTAGACTCTTTAGGTCGGGTAACAACTGAAAAATCTCGGGCTCAATTTCCGGGGAAGAATAGAAACGATTGGGCAACGTTTTCTTTTACTTGATACCACTGCTCACCTAGCAATATGTACATAGACACCCCATAAGTTAGGCATGCTGGGTGATGTCAGTGAGACCTCGATATGCCAAACAGCATTCTTGTTCTCAACAACAGGAATCCATAAGGTGAATGAAACCGCGCAGCAAAGTTCAGGAGAGGTGTTTACAGAGAAACGTATAAACCGATTGTTTACGATCTCGTTGGCGCATTTACAAATGAATAACCAAGAATGATATATCATCTACAAATTTGCAGTAGGGAAACATTAAGCTGTAACAATTATTAGACCTGATGTTTTAATGTTTTTATCAATTAAATCTAAATAAAACTAGATAATAGATGTGATAAAAAACGAGCAGTAAATTTAACGTAAATCAATGAGTATGGTATTTAAACAATACTACACACAGCAGACAACAAACATTTCTCCTCACTGGTCATACCTCTGCCAGGAGACCACTTCTCTTATCACAAGACCGTCATTAGACAAGTGTCTTGCTTTCATTTCACACATTGTCACACGCTTCCCTCTGGAGATTTTCCTTGCGGCTCGTTAAAAACACGTTCTGAGTGGCAGCAAATGTCAAGGAATGTGAACCTCTTCGCGCTTACATCAAGAAAATATAGATGGGGGCGCTGTCATTTTTCAGCACATTATTTTGCCCACAGGTGTAGGCATGAGCCCTCTTCAGACTTTTATCTACGCGTGTGTAGCGCCCTCCTGAGACAAGGGAGACATAACAACATGATAAATGTCAGGAATAATATATACAAGTGAAGTCTTTATGTCGGTCATGCTTAATATCTCGAGAGTTGACGTGACATTATTAAGTGTGATAACTGCAGGTGTTGAAGCTGCATGCTCACGTGAAGCTTTATGATCCAAGTTATATATTCAAGAAGCTTTATGTTTATGTGAAGCATTATGATTACATTCAGATTTTATGTTCAAGGGAAATTTTATGATAACGTGTTTTATGCTCATGTGAAAATAATGCACATCACAACTCAGCAGAGTGCACGTGTGTCTCCTACGATTTTAAGTACAATGGAACAGATTAACATATAGATCTTAAGCTCCACTTAAGAGGTAAAATCCTCACGTGTCTTGCACACAAAAGGAGAGCTCCTGTGGGAACACACAGGAGCAGGTGGGCGAAGCTTATCTCCAGGGTCCCAGCTTAATGCCACCATCACCAGGGATTGGTCTCCTGGAAGCAAAACCACTCCTCCCAACCCTACACTTAAGTGTCAGGAGGAAAAAAAAGAAAGAGGTCACCACTGTTTTTTGTGCCTTTTCTCACTCTCATTTCCCCAGCGCGCTTCCTGTTTTAAATGATGAAAAGATTTCAACATGTTAACATCTGGCTCTGCTTTTTCTTAAACGAGGATTGTGGCCATATTGTTTCCTGAATGGAAGTGATGAAAAGTTGTGATGAGCGTTGAAAAAAAATCAATTCTTGACTTAGAGAGATAAGATCACACCTGGAAGACATTACCTCTGTACATCTTGCATGTATTCGACTGTTTCCGAGGCATTTGCAAATTAAATTGTTTTCTCTGTGTATATAAACAGAGAAGCGAGTTACATCTCTTGGATTGTATTGCCCCTCGCTGTTCTTATAGAATAACATGAATGTAATATGTTTAGGTTAATATTAGAATGTCTCTGAGTATTTTATGTAAACTTAATAATGTTTCCCTTGAATTTGCATTAACAAAATGCTGGACTCGCCATCATAAAAGATATTTTTTTTTGGTGAAATCACATTATTTTAGAAATCACATTACATGAACGATCTCGTTAGCGATACCTGATAGTCACGATATTAGACATAATATTTTCCAATCCAGCTATAGGTGACAATTTCTTCTCCCAGGTGAATCAGGATGGTTAAAAGGTGTCATTTTAGCTCTATTCTTCGTACGAGTCTGTTGTGTGAGGTATTACTGCAATCTGGGAGAGGTGAGCAGTGTGTGAAGGGCGTAGATACTGGCTCATCCCAGAAGACACATCTAATTGCAGACAACTTCTGCAGCCACACCACCTCTCCTGTTGCTGTGTTGCACAAGTTGTGAGGAACGGATGACAGGGTGAAGTTGTATGTCAAAGGGAGCTTGTAGTCCATTTCGTGCAAATACAACAACGGTATTTGACTGTTAGAGCCATAGTATGTTTACAACTGAGATACAGGCACTTCTTAACAGAAGAAAGCATTATATACAGATAAAAAAGGAAAGGAGAGATGCAAAATCTCTTGGAATCACGTGAAAATTAAACAGCGTTCATATGCATGTTAACACGCCGAAGGACAGAAGCTCCGTGGTTTCCTATTCTGTTACCACAAAGCTGACCTTTTAAAGATATTGCCGTGTAAAGTTAAAATTCCAAATAAAATTCCAATGCATTTCGCCAACAGCGAGCAAGATAAGGCCGTCAAAAACTTCCCAAGAACCATCAGCACAAGAACTGAAGATATACATAACTGGGCAAAGTTGTCAGCGTTGGAACTAACTTCCAGAGCCTCGAACTGGGGAGACAAACTTTGATCTGACTTCCAGCCTATTCGGGGCGAATATTGGAATATTGGAGACTGTTTCACTGAAGTTGAAGTATCTTAATACTCACGATAATTTTGACAGTCACAGTACTCTTAGAGATATATTCTACAGTCTGTGTGAGTTGTATATACGTGAGTGGTGGAAATTATTAGAAATGAGTGTGTGTGTTTTCCGATATGTTGAAAGTGTTTTTCCTGATATGAGGAGTTTGTGTGTTTTTCTGAGTGATGAGTTTGTGTTTTCCTGATATGATGAGTGTGTGTTTTTCTGAGTGATGAGTTTGTGTTTTTCTGATATGATGAGTGTGTGTTTTCCTGATATGATGAGTTTGTGTTTTTCTGATATGATGAGTGTGTGTTTTTCTGGTGTGATGAGTGTGTGTTTTCCTGATATGATGAGTGTGTGTTTTCCTGATATGATGAGTGTGTGTTTTTCTGATATGATGAGTGTGTGTTTTCCTGATATGATGAGTGTGTGTTTTCCTGATATGATGAGTGTGTGTTTTCCTGATATGATGAGTGTGTGTTTTTCTGGTGTGATGAGTGTGTGTTTTCCTGATATGATGAGTGTGTTTGTTTCTGTATGTGTTATAAATGTCTACCATTAAGATGACCTTGATAAAAACAACTGCAATGAAAATCTGAAAAATTTCAGTCGAGATATAAAATAATAATTCTAAGCGTTGAACTAATTATTTGACCAACGTTCTGTGTACTAAAAAAAACTAATCAACGAATATTTGGCTAAGATAAAAAAAATTAACAAAACAATGCCATGATGACCAGACCACACACTAGAAATTGAAGAGACGACGACGTTTCGGTCCGTCCTGGACCATTCTCAAGTCGATTGTGAGAATCACAATCGACTTGAGAATGGTCCAGGACGGACCGAAACGTCGTCGTCTCTTCAATTTCTAGTGTGTGGTCTGGTCATCATACTTCAGCCACGTTATTGTGACTCATCGCCTGCAAAACAATGCCATTTTAGGATGAAAGAAATAATAATACAATTACGGAGTACAGTTTAGCGAGGAGAATAGAATATTTCACTGTAATTTACCTCTCTATTTAACAGCAGGAAATATTCTCCATATTTCCTGCTGATATATTCAGTAATATTTTCCTGAATTACTTTAGTGAGTATTAGAACACTTACGCCTGTGATCAGGCGTGAGTTGAGTGACAGAGAGCCAACGACCTCTGTAATATAGATAAAGATATTATTTTTTAATCTTTTTCAGCTTTTATTTCTATAACAATAGACATTTAATGCAGTTAAACAGAATTGATATAGTGCTGAACTCCACTCAGGAATGTGAATGTGTGTGTATTTTTCCACGTTAAAACACACATATATTGTTTTCAACCGAAGTAGTGATATTAAGAAAAAGTTTGATTGATATTTGTTATGTATGTTATGCACATGTTAGTTAGTCTGTTATGTTATAATGTCTGTTATGCAAGTACTTTAATAGTACTTGCATAATAGAGTTTTGCTTTATACCAATCATTTAAACTCAAACATTTTTGAGAGGTCGGTGACTGTAGCATTACATAATAGGAATTATATTATCATTGGGCACCATTCCTTAACCCCCCCCCCCCCCCACCCCCACCCCCGTCCCATCCCAAATCTTTATCCTGACCCCCTTCCCAGTGCTATATAGTCGTAATGGCTTGGCGCTTTCCCCTGCTAGTTTCCTTCCTTTCCTACCTTGTCATTACTCTAAGGTGTTCTCAGTTTAAACATGATTTCATATATATTTAAACTTATATTTAAACCCACTAATTAGCAGCGTGTTCCCTATATTATTAAAAATACAAATTAATTTTTTCAAAATACCTTTTCATCACTACAGAATTTTAAAATTATCTTGAAAATTATTTTGTACGATTTTTATGCAGGAATGGAGGCTGCCGGTAGGCGGCTCAGCGTCCAGAGGGTACCAGGGAAGGGATGAGACGTAGACAGCATTCGCACCACTGAGCTGAGCTCCACCTGGCTCTCTACTCAGGTACTACCGCCCTCCTTCACCTACCTGCAAAAAATATATATATTATCATTTATTATATTTTTATACTTCTTGCTCGTTTATTGTTACTTTCGATTCTACAATGGCCTCTACAACTTTCACAAATATATCTTTTACATCAACATTATATCATTAATAATTGTTGAATAACTAATACTAGACAGCTCACCCTTGAGCTGTCTTGTATTAGACAGCTAATTAAGCTTGAGTCACAAGATTAATTAGATTAAGATTAAGATTTTGACACAAAATTAAGCTTGTGTCACAGTCCTAATAATTATGGACGGTATTATAAGTCTAACCTTTTGCTTGAAACTATCTAGAGATCCCACGTCCATTACATTACTTAAATTAATAAAACTATTTCCAAAGTAGTGTATACCGACTTTTTTTTATTTCGAAAAGTGATGTAGTGTTTGTTTTTAAGCTTAACATGCCTGCTAATCATATCTCCATGATTCACCAGCCTTTGATGCATGTACTTGCATGCTATTAGTGATGACGGCCTCTGACAAATTCGCTCTATCATAACTGATATTACTTTTGTTGATACCATTTCCACAATTGATGATAATATTAACTACTACTGTTGATTTTTTTACTACTTCTCTTGATGTCTTTACTACTGCTGTTAATTTCTATACTATTAAGGTTGATACCGTTATTTCTACTGATGACATCATTACCACTTAATTATCAATTATCAATTAATGATACCATTAGTTGTATTTATGCCATTACTAATAGTATAAACAAATTATATGCTGAAATACAGCTAAGGTGATGCTGGTGATGAACAATTTAAAACAAAATGCAGAGGATTATCGACTGGATTTTGTTATCCTTGAATCAATTTTGTACATACAATAATTATTACTGTTATTAAGGGTTAAAATATATTTTAAATTTAATTACATGTACAATTATCCCTTAATAAACCCCAGATTTAGAAAATAGTAGAAACTTTTGCTGTTCAGATATTCTTAGTGGGCGTTCATATTCTTGGTGGTCTTCATATTCTTACTGACATTCATATTCTTCGTGGCATTCATTTTCTTAGTGGCCTTCATATTATTGGTGGCCTTCATGTTCTTAGTGGCGTTCATAATCTTAGTGACCTTCATATTCTTAGTGGCCTTCATATTTATTCTTAAGTCTACTAACACCCTCCTTGAACATATCTTCCGATGTTCTCAATAAAATTATCTCTATGTCCTCTACCTGCTCCCCCATCTCTTCCTCCTCCGTCGCTTTGCTTCTTCTATTTTCTGACTTCCTCTCCTGCCTGGTCACCATCTTTCCTCTCATCCATATTCATCCATCACTCTCCTTTTACCCGCCGTCAAACCCTCATCCCTATTTACCTTTCCTGGGCGGCTCACGCACGCTGTGCATCAGAGCGTCCCAGACGACCGACAGCTTTCTGGACAGAAGTGAAAGAGTCAGTGGCTGTGAGATGAGGAACGGGATAACCTGTGTTGATAACTGATGTGATTAGATCAGATATGTATGGCTATGCAGGCGATGAGTCACAATAACGTGGCTGAAGTATGTTGACCAGACCAAACACTAGAAGTTGAAGGGACGACGACGTTTCGGTCCGTCCTGGACCATTCTCAAGTCGATTGTCACAATCGACTTGAGAATGGTCCAGGACGGACCGAAACGTCGTCGTCCCTTCAACTTCTAGTGTGTGGTCTGGTCAAATGTATGGCTATTCACCTAAGTGTGCTTGGAGCTGAGTTACAGCTCTTTGGAACCACCTTTCAATCGTCAGTTAAATGATGGACATGATTCTGAGCTTATTTGGTTGTATCTACATTTGAAAATGCGTATACAGTCCGCCACCACTATATATATGTCAAGGGCTGAGCACTGTATTGTGTTGTTTGTCTCACATGTTCAAGCTTTTCACAAGGTCCTATATATGTCAAGCTGATATTATATATTTTTACCCTGACATCATATCTATCTGAGGACATTATATCACTCGTACTGATATCAAATACGATATATTTACACTACATCCGGCACATCTGTCGTGGTGTCACTATATACATCGCGCTGCACTAATAGACTGTAATTAGGACACTACACACTGACACTACAGTAAGGTACACTAGCACTACAGTAAGCTGCGCTAACACTACAGTAAGCTACACTACCAATACAGTAAGGACTGACAGTGACCACAAATTATCAATGCCTCGCCAGTTTAATACACGAATCTGTATGACATCATATTTTCTCAATATTTACGTTTCAGTATAATGACCTTCGTGAGTCTTCCATTCAGTATAACAGTGGAATAAAATAAGGGTTTAAATAAATTAAATAAATAAAATTTAGATATTTAAAATTAAATAAATTAAAAAAAAATTAGATAAAATATTCTGGTGTATAATAGTCATCGCGTCAGATTTATTCTGGACAAATTAGACTGATGTTTTGATGGAGATTCATGATATCAACCAGTCTAACTCTATTATTATAAGTTTAGAAAACTCGTGTAATCTCACCGTTTTGGGGGAAAAAAATAGATTCTACCTGATAAAATCTCCTCTAATATCAACCTTGAAATAAGCGATGTAAACATCAAATTATTATTAGTGGAACAATTGAACACAGCGTTCTTTAAGCGAGAAATATCGACCAGGCTAATTTCCCTGTTGAGAGCGACCACGCTTGAGAGGAGAGAGAAACTGAGCAACAAGGAACATCGACCGCCCCATCGCCGGTCCGTTAGCATCGACCTTCCACCAGAAAGACCTTGAAACGCGTAGTATCGACCAATTCATCTTTAAGGCATGGAGGTATTGACCGCACCAACATTCTCATCAATTCACCTTGTGGTATCTAGAATTCAGATGTGTTTATCTCTCGGTTTTTAGTTTATTATATATTATCCACCTCCCTAGTGACTACCACCCACCTCTGGCCTCATCTACCGGTTACCCATTTTCTTATCTACCACCCAACCCTCTCTTCATCTACCACACACTCCTTTCGTCATCTACTACCCATCTATCTCATCTACCCTACACCCCTCTCTTCAACTACCACCATCCCTCTTCTTACCTATCATCAAAAACTCTCCTCGCATCCACACCATAACTACCTATTCTTACATCTGTTTTACACTCCTTTTTATCCATTCCTGCATTTCCCTCGGTGTCTCCTGCAGTCACCCCATTACACACTTATCAAACCACTCACACACTCTTCACCTGTCACTTGCACTTACTCTACTTATCGCAAGCACTCCACACGCCGCTCTCACTTCCAATACACTCTTCAATCCTCTCTCAATCACATATTTCGCCACCAGTGATTCCAATTGACAAATACCGTCTCTTCCTTCGCTAATACCGCCCCTCTCTCTTTACTTAAACCGTCTTTCTCTCCTTAATACTTTCTCTACCCTTTATCTCACTAGTCTACACTCTATAGCTCACCAGCTTTCACCGAAATAGTGTGGTGCACGCTTAAAAAATTAACATCAATGTGTTGGTGCACGCTTAAAAAATTCCAGAAATTCTAATTACAATTAAAAATAATAAAGAACGTAGTGAGAAACGAAATAAAATTAGTTTGTGTAATAGGAAATGTGCACAACAGGATTATGATCAAAGGAGTATAGGAATTTACTGAGAAATTAATCAGTGATGAACAACGTGTTTTGTGGTAGAAGAGAATGTATAGTGCAAATAATTGCATTAAGATGACTTATAGATAAGGCATTTAAGAATTTTATGGACTTTGTAAATGCGAAATGTACTTTAGACAGAAATATAATTTATTGATCTTGCAGGGTTTTGTCAAAAGGTTTTTAAATATTATATGTTAGTATGAGTGCATGTGTATCAGTAAATAGGAGAAGCTAGAAATAAACGACAAGATTGAGATGATACTGAAATGCTTTGGATATATTGAACGATAACGATTGAACAATGGATAATAATGTTGATGAGCAGAGCTGGATTAAGAATTTTGTAGGCCCTGGGCACTTTCTGTCGTAGTATTAAACAAATACTAAATTAACCTTTATAATCACTTAATCTAATGACTGCAGTTAATTCTATCTTGTCAAATTGAAAGAAACATTTCTCATTATATACGATGCAATACATAATTATTCTTAGGAAATAAGCTAAATGGTGCTGTACGGTAGTTTTCTTACCTGTGCCATAGAATCACCGCCTGGACGACATATCCTAACAAAGCATCATGTAAGCATGATGTTACTTGCTACAGAAGTACGAAATGTTACTTCTGTGTTACTTCCTCTAAAGAATAATACTTCCTGTGTTACTTCCTCTAAAGAATAATACTTCCTGTATTACTTCCTCTAAAGAATAATACTTCCTATATTACTTCCTCTAAAGAATAATACTTTCTGTGTTACTTCCCCTAAAGAATAATACTGCCTGTGTTACTTCCTCTAAAGCATAATACTTCCTGTATTACTTCCTCTAAAGAATAATACTTCCTGTGTTACTTCCCCTAAAGAATAATACTGCCTGTGTTACTTCCTCTACAGAATAATACTTCTTGTGTTACTTCCTCTACAGAATAATACTTCCTGTGTTACTTCCTCTACAGAATAATCAACCCCTCTGCTGAGTTCCCTCAGCTGAGTAAACATGAAGGTCTCAGCGCCCCTTCCTGCTCCCCAGGGGCGTCGAACCTGCCTGGTGACGGACAAGAGGTGTGGTGGCCGCGTCAGGCAAGCCTCCTTCACTACCACCTGACACTCCCCCTCCGGTTAATTACTCTACTGATTGGGTCGCCGCCACACTGTTTATTGGCCCATTACCCTGGCGGCGGCGCCCTCCCCTAGTGGTGCACAGTGTTACACTCACCTGCTGTACCTCATCTCCCCCTCCATGGATGGTTCCGGGAAGCGCTACATCCTGAAATATAAACAATTCTTGAATATTATATTATTAGTTTATAACCGGATGTTGTTCTCTAATATTAGCTCCTTGAGTATATGCTGGTCCTTTGTGTGTATGTGTACATATATATATATATATATATATATATATATATATATATATATATATATATATATATATATATATATATATATATATATATATAAACAGACCAAATTCGATAAGCATGGGAGTTTAATCTTTCCCTTTGCCATGTTTCTGGAAAGTTTGTGTTGTAACATATCAAATATGCACCAAATAAGTGCTATAGTGGTAAATAATGCATCTTAGAAAATGGTGAGAACATTAAACAACCACTGATTAAACAAACGACGTCCATCATTATTATGTTTGATTTATAATTACAATTATATCAAGCACTTTCGTGGCTTTTCGTAAGACCATAAGGCTCGCATTTATTGAACTACGGCTTTATTGTATAATAAAAATGATTCAGAATCTGCGCTCTGGGATTAATGAATGCAACAAATTAAGTCCGTGGTAAACTATTGTTGTAATTGCAGTGTACAGGCTTTTATCGGTCAAATCAAAGCTTAATTATTGAACAGATTTGAGTTAGTGATGAATATGTATTATCCGTGAGTGTTTGAATGGTTTTTTTCCTATCGGAGAAATAATGCATTTCAAGACATGTTATTAGTGCCGTGTGGCTGTGTGTTGTGTGTGCGTGCATGTGAATGTATGTGTGTGTGTGTGTGTGTGTGTGTGTGTGTGTGTGTGTGTGTGTGTGTGTGTGTGTGTGTGTGTGTGTGTGTGTGTGTGTGTGTGTGTGTGTGTGTGTGTGTGTGTGTGTGTGAAAGGGAGAGAGAGAAAAAGACTTTATAACAGATCATCTACTTAAATAAATAAACGCAAGATACAAAACTCATTTAAGGACTCGGTAGAAACTTGGAAAGTTGATTTCATCAGAGCTGCTAACTCTCTGGTCGGGTCAAGCCAGGAGTAACTTTCACGCTGACCAGATTACCAACTCACTCCAGACGCTTGTGTTCAAGTTGATGCGTCCCAATAACACCGTGTGAAACGTTGATTTACAGTCATCTAATGTATGGCAGGAAGATACGTGGCTGAATGGGTTCTGGTTCAGGTGATAGACTATAGATGGAGTAATTCTAAATTTAGGGTAATTCTCTAAGGGTAAGGTATTTATACCTTAGTGGGAGTTGGTAGTGGCATTGACAATCACAGGTTGATATCAGAAGAAAGCACTAAGTCAGTACGACTAGCACTTGGAAAGGATACAAGGATAAGGATTCAGAATAAGACCGGAGGAAAGGAATGGTGCTCAACCGCAAAAAAAACAGCAATTCAAGTACTTCAAAAGACTTTATTAAGAATGCTCCAGTTACAGTCCTGCTCCTGTGCCAAGTCTACTACGGGCTCACCATAGCCTGTGCTACTTGGAACTTTGTGTTCAGAGTAGTTGAATATAAAACAACAACAACAATCTACAAGCTGTCTAAGCCACATCTTGCAGTTTATATTTGTTCACAATTATTATCTGGTACTAAGGTCGTTAAACATATAGTATAACAGGACTCAAAACTAGGGCTATTGCACTTATAACTCTTTATTAATGGCATCAATAAATCCTGTACAAAAGTTAAAATCAATCTCTGGTCTAATTAAGCCGCCGTATACCATTTTGCCTTCTGCCCGTCTGAGCTAGGCTAATTATTCATATCAACTCATGGTACAAAAGCATTCCATAATCAGGCATGTCAAACATGCGGCCCTTAGCAAGCACACCTACGGCCCGCAGACAGGATACAGTAATTTGGTCATTTAATGGTCAAAATTGCAGTTTTTATTATTTAAACTACAATTTAAACTTCTGCCAAGTTTGCTGTTGCTGTTTAAGATTCGCTACCTGGAACAAAGTTCCAAGTAGCACGGGCAATGGTGAGCCCGTAGGTACTTTCTGCCAAGGCAGAAGAAAGCCTGCAGATAGAACTATTAGAAATGAAGTCGGATTCTATACGCAGAGCAAAGTATCTTGAAGTGGGAAGACCTGGTTTCTTTTCAAACCTTAATGAAAAGTTTAAAAAACTTCAAAAAGTTTGCCATAAGGATTATGGCATGGCTCTGTTCTACCTATGTGTGTGAACAGTTATTTTCTTTCATGAAATCAACAAAACTTCTCAGTGAACAAGGCTGTCTGATCAATACTTGTCATTTCTGATCAACGTGGGAACTGGTTTCAGCCAAACATAACACAAATTGTCATTGAAAATAGCTGTCAAGCCTCAGGACAAAACACTAAATATGATTGAATAGCCGTAAATAAATGTTCATTTTGAACTGTTGTAATTTTTGTTCAATGTATTTGTTGCTGTTACATAGAAGTCTATGTTACCGTTTAAAATTTCGTTGATTTTCTTTTGTTAAACTACCTCATTACCTTGCATTCATGAATGTGGCTAGCCTCTAAACCATTTGTATAAAAATTTTATGTTTCTAAATTTAAGTAATAAAAATATTCTGCAATAATTTGTATTAAATTATTTCAATTAGTTGTGGTGTGTGGGCTTCATGACAACACAAATGTGACCCATATGGCCCTCGAGGGACGTTCAGTTTGACATGTCTGTAAATCTATATGATATTCAACAAAGACTTCTCGTTTGACCTAATATAATAGTATTCCATATACATGTGTTATTGAATATGATCGAAATGGTTAGATCCACGATGTTTGCACAAATCTTGGATATTCTAACGATCTTCTCAAAATTAAGTCCAGGAACCATTAATTTAAATCAGTTTTTTAATAACAACTAAATATATTTTTTTTACAGTCTGATAAGTGAATAAACGTATACTGTCATAATTACAGTAGCACCACGGCTCATACGTTTGTAATTGAACATCCCTCCCTTGTAAACATTTCCAATCAGAGATTACATTCACTGAGAGGTATTTTCGGTGAATATGCATTGAGAGTTTACTTTTGTACTGGGCTATATTTAGTACTAAAGTATACCTTCTGGTTAATATACTTGCTTGTTGATCAGTAATATATTATGGTGGCCAATCAATAGCCTTCCAGAGGTTGATAGGCCTTAAGCACAATACCAATCCAAACCTTTACACAACAAGGTGTAAAGGAATGATTCTAGACCCCATGGGATTGATTCCCTGCAAGTCTTATGTCTACTCAAAGAAGCATAATCAGTAAATAAGCCACGAGAAAGGTACCAAAGAAGATCAAGAATCAGGATACGAGAATGATCAGTTATCAGAAGGAGAGCAGGATGAGCTGTCACAGTACAGGCGGGTAATAAGCTGGTACCAGATATAAGAGACAGAATGACTAAAATCAGTAGTGAGGAGGGAGTGTGATGGTAGTGGCGCAGGCGCGTGTGGGCAACTTGAGGGCGGACCAGAAATAGTCGTAGTAGCGGAGACATAGTGAGACAATGCTGGCATCTGGGCCATGGGCGGCACAGCCCTATCTACCGTAGGTGCCACTTATAGGGACTTGCACTGTCCCTGCTAGGGGCCAGGGCAGTCCCCGCTCTACAGTACTGGCATATGGTGAACCGTGGAGTTCACTTGGGAGGGATGAAACACGGCATGCGCACCACTCTCTTATATACCGTCTCCCTTGCCAGTACTGACTTCACTCGCCAGGCTTTTCTTAGCTTGCGCTGCTGTTCTCGCTGCTGTCTTGTATTCTGGGATCATTGTCAGGGTGTAGAGATATCGAAAGTACGTACTTACACAGTGGTGTAAGCTGCGATGCTTACACCGTGGTGTAAGCTGCGATGCTTACACCAATCTCACTCACATTATTCCCCTGTCACACATATTTTATCTCCCTTGCATTCTTCTAATTTGCAATGTCACACGTTTGTTAATTTTTTTACATCGTATTGTTTATGCAACTTCTAAGTTGTATTGCTCAGTGACAACTCATACATGAGTATCCACACACGCATCGACCTCACGTCAATATCAAATGACGTCTCATTGTTTAGGCTGTCACAGTAACTATGTTTTATCATCCTAGTTTATACTGGCACACAGTTCTCTCTTGACGCCATGGACGTGTCTTCACACTGTTCCGTCTCTTCCCCACCCACCATCCCACTAGTCTTCTTTCCCAAGGATCCCGGCTTCGGTTCCCGGCTGGGACTGAGACGGTTAGGCACGTTTTTCTTTCATGCGATGCCTCTGTTTACCTAACACTAAATAGCTACTCATTAATTAGGCAACTATTGTGGGTTGCATCCTGAGAAAGGTCATCACTGGTTGGTCAAAAATGGCTTCCTGTCCCAGAATATAGGAATTCATAAGACGAACCATCAACTTGGTTTGGGCTTAAAGGCTTTTGACCTTAAGTCTTATTAAGGTCACAACAATTGTTTACTGACCAGCCAGCAAGTATCCTATGTATAGGCCAGGAGTAAACTCTCAGTTTATATATATATATATATATATATATATATATATATATATATATATATATATATATATATATATATATATATATATATATATATATATATATATATATATATATATATACAAGGCCCGATTTGCCTAATAATATATAATATAATATATATATATATACCTATATATATATATATATATATATATATATATATATATATATATATTCTTAATCACGAATGTGAATATATTCACATTCTTAATCACGTGTTTATTTTCGTGATATACACACATATATATATATATATATATATATATATATATATATATATATATATATATATATATATATATATATATATATATATATACCCCCCTATATATATATATATATATATATATATATATAGGGGGGTACCACCACTGGTGCAATTATAGGGACCCACAGCCTCAGAGAAGGGAAAAACTTGCCATTTAACTCTGAATACGAAAGAGTGTTCACTTCTCCTACCACCCCCTTTTTTTTATTATGATGTACACTTTATTATGCAAGGTTATACAGTTACATATCTGATTTTATACAAAAAATGAACATTAAGAGGACACAAGAAAAAGTTCGCTTCCTAGAGGCTGTAGATTTCCTCGAACTCCTCCG